GCGCGTACAGAGAAGTTTAGTTCCACTGACTGGTTGCACTGCGACAGAAAACAGCGCAACGAAGCCGACAGGTTGCATTTAAAAAAAGTGTTCCAATTCGTCAAAGAGTACGGAGGACGGACATTCCATAGGTTACTAAGTTTTGTCCTACAAAGGAAAAGCAGCCCTTAAATGAAGCCTCAGTGAAAATTTCAACCTCATCAGACTTCAACAAAATCGACAACTTTTCTAGTCCACATTTGTTAGGCAATAACTGATGATGATGATGATTATGACGACAGCGGAAGCTCTGATCGATCGCATATACATATGCGTATATAACCATCGGACGTCAATAACCAGAGACAGTGTGCTAATGCAAAGGACTAAAGCCAATGATTTCAAAGAACATGCAGCACACATCAACATATACTTATTAATTATGGACGAAGGCAAAGGCAGCAGGAGAAAACTGACCGACTCTCGTCGATAGGAGTGTTTTCCAGGCCATGTACGCAAACATGCAATGTCGGTGGATAATTTTGTCGGCTGAAAACGCGAACTTGGAAAATGAACACGTTGCTGTACATGTGCTGACGTCACTCTGAGTCTGCTAGTCGATTTTTGGGTGAAAATCAACCGTTTGTCAACGAAAATTAGAAAGGTCTAAAACAAAATGGCCATGTCTCTCGCCGACAGCGGAAGTGGCTCGCCTCACAGCCTCGTCAAGAGGCAACTCGAGCACAGGAACGGTGCTCGAGCAGGAAGCTTCAGAAAACTCGAGCGAAACGTTTCATCAAACACTCACTAACCTGATGTTAACTCGTGCGCTCTTGGCAGCCACCTTTCGCCAGAACTGAAAATGAGGCACAGCCGATCGGCTGTTGGATCCGGCTCCGTCTGCGAACATCTGCATTTCCGCATGCGTCCTGTCTGGCTTTTGACGCCTCAGAACGAGTTAAGTGCGCTGGAACATTCACTCGTGCCATCGCAGACGTCAGCTGCAAAACGTTGTTCGTACACAGAACTGGACCGGGCTTGGTGTTGAAGTTTTTTGTTTTAGCACATGCTGGTCTGAGCAGGTCGATCGAAGCAGCAACAAAGGATGTGAGCCTCTCTGTTTGACCATGACATGCACCTCAAAGGGAAACAGACCATCTGGTTCGATCACGTCCACGGTAAACGGCCACTGATTATCACAGGCAATCAATATTGCGTCCAAGGTTTTTCCGCTGCAAGTCTGCGATTCTGACAGTCAACTACATTGACACTTGAATGACCCTTCTTTGTGACTTACTGGGATCATCACCGCCCAATGCCTTCGATGCCCACGTTCATCATTCTCGTGTCGAGATCCTCCAATTGCAACCCTTTGGTGCTAATGCTAATCCGTGACTGCTAAATAGCATTCGTCGTCCGTCAGCCGCGTAATGTAGTTTGCCGCAGTCCGACTCCAGCTGCACGCAAGAGACTTGGAGTGGGGGTGGGGTGGGGGAGGGGGTAATTCTTGTTTCTGCCTTCCATTTCATTCGATATCGGTAGTTGGTTTTGGCTTGCCATTGTGGACACAAAGTCGATTTGCATTTTTCTCCGGCGAAATGGTGTTCCGAGTGACGCGTCTCAGATTTTCCTTGATGAGCATGGGAAGAGCCACCTTTTCTCTGGCGGTTTCTTCTTCGCCCCATGGACGGCATTTCAAATCGCGGAGGACAACGAGTTGCATAATTTATGGAAATACCTGTCGTTGTTCTTCTTCACTCAACTTGCGATTTCCATGCTTGAACATAACGAATTTAATCAGGCGGAACATCATGTGCAAATATAATCTTTCTTTCAAAGAGTTACAATACAAATATACTAAATTTGACAACGTTTCAACTACATATTTTTCAGCCGCTGTCCCACCAAATGATTGACGGATATAAAGGTGAATCTGTACGAAGTGCTTCAGTACATCGGTATGCATCACACGCCAAGACATAATTACACCACATGGCTTGGCAACCCTGTTGTTGGCATATCGACAATCTGATACTCGTTTTTCGACTGGTTGCACCGAAGAACAGTCGAATGAATTCTTTGCTCAAGGAAATTGGCAATTCATAAGAAAATTGTGGGTCAATGTGGAATTCAAAACCGTTGGTTCCAAATACTTCCACAGAATACAGTTTCTCTAAAAATATTTCTTAATTCACTCGTTCATTCATTAACTCATCCACATTCATTCATTTATTCATTCACCCGTTAATTTCGCTCTGACACGACATCCGTAAGTTTGGTTGCTTACTGTTCTCTTCACGGTTAAATGAGAGAACATTCAGTCATAGGCAATAAAAAGTACCTCATAGTCTGATCACATTCTGCTTAAAATATGCATTAATATAAATTAAATAGATGAAAATAAAATATCGTAAAATTGCATGACGTCAGAGAATCAACACGGCAATAGACTTGCCATAATTAGTTGCTAATAATAACACAAAACATCATTTTCAAATCAAACAAACGACAGTGGTGGTTTTAATGCAATGTTTCTGCTGAAGCGGATGAATTTCGTTCCTTCGAGCTGGTAGATGATAAGGAAATAACACTTGATCCATCACAATCATAATGGTGCAAAATCATAAAACACAAACAAAGCTATAAAGGCAGAATTTACTGAACACACAAAATTAAGGTCTTGAAGCGTTGAGGACTTTTGACGGAATGAACTGGCTTTCGTATATCGAAGTGGCCAAAGCATCCAAACTGTGGCACTGCTCAACTGTAGTCCAAGGGAAGATCAACCGTTCTCCATGCCGCAGAAACCAACCAAAGTTTCTGAAAGTGACAATGAGCTTTCTTTTGGTCTTCTTTGCATCGGTTCTTGCGGAAACGTGGGGAATAGTGTTCTCGTATTCGATTCTGCAATACCGGCTTTCTATGCATTTGACGTAAAGTATTCAATTCAAAATCACAACTTCGTTTGCTCCGTATAAAAAGACGAACATTTCTGTATTTTCTCTTCGTACTCTTTTTCCAAGGCTCTAATGGCCTAAAAACAACAATTAGACTTAGCTATATAAGCAGGAGCATACAACAAGACAGTGATTTGCAGCACTTTATTTAACATGTTGTTTCCTGTAGATACAGCGTGGTGTGCAATGATGCAATGATGAAGAATTTTGTCCATGTATGTTGGACGTGAGAGGGGGAGTGGGGAGGGAGGGCTTAAATTCACTCATGTACCTCGCAGGGTTTCTTTTATTAGCTCTAAACTCATCGAGCAATGAATTCATCTCATTGTTATTCGGTGCAACCAACCAAGAAACATGCACCACGGAGAAGGTGTACGAAAATGTGAATAGCGCGGTGTTCTTGCATACTCACGTCAGAGCGTGGGAGACAGATGGCTATGCTGTCTGATACGAGCGCCCTACGGCTTCAATTCGCTTTCAAATACCTGTCTTTTTAGCTGATCAAAAATCGGCATAAAGCGCAAAACGTAAATTTAAAATATTTTGATATTTGGCCCATATCAATTTGGTTCGTCCATTGTGGTTATCCTGAAACACCATAAACAGAGAGCACTGTGCATCTACGTACAACACAAACATAAGGCCAGTCAGATGACTGACCAATACATAGGTACCGACTGATCAAATCGTTTTTGTCGGATATTGGTAAACTGTGTATCATGCTGTTTTCAGGAAGATTTATATACAGTTCTTGAGCTCATAAAACTGAATGCCAACTTGTGTTCAATGTGAACGGTTTGGCGCTTTCGACTGGTGCTGAAAGACAGTCGGCAAAACAGGCGATTTTGCACAATACGATCATTTTACTGAAAATAGCTAATGGTACTTCAAATGTACAAATCCGTCTTCTTTTTCATCATTCATCATTCGATCCGTCCTCACTGTGGGCGGGTCACAAAAGCAAGTCGACGCTCCTCAAACGTCTATTATTTACTGGAGCGTTTTTTTTCGCGAGTGATAATTGCAGCTTAATTATCCAATCCTGCGAAGATGTCTACCGGAACTCTGAACGGATTGGACAAGCCTTATCAAGTAAATGACCGGGAAACAATTTGATCAGCAGCATGCACTAAAAGTACACCTTTTATGCACACCCCACAACAACTGCACAAGTCAAACCGCATCAGCCTGAAGAGCGCCTGCGAGAGACGAACCGAAATGTCAGTACCGATCAATCATTTCTTTGTTGACCAACTAATTTCTGTTGTGCACCAATGAGCGGTTTTAATGCATTAGTCAGTTTTCAAATTGGTCCGGGAGTGTGCAACTGCTGCTGAATTCCTGAAGCAACATGCGGGATGATCTTGCATGCCGAGGAGG